AAAACCTCAAAACTTACAAACATTTATGAAGTCCGAAATTTATTTTATTTAGGTGTATAAAAGACTTTATGTAACTAACACAATTTTAGTTTAATATTTCACGCTGCTCTAAATTAAATATTCCTGTTGAATTGATACACTTCAGGAGATTGCTGAATTCTTGTTTTGACACAAATTTTGGAGGTGGTGTCCATTCTTCCACATTTCATATAACTCCGAAACTATCCAGTGGAATTCCATTACATTTAATATTGGTGTTGTATACTGTAAATGATCAAGTAAAGGAGCATGAGATGGACAGAGCGTGTAGCACGAATGGGGGGGAAGATGAAAGCATGTAGAAAATTGGTGAGAAAGCCAGAAGGAAAGAGACCACTGGGAAGATCAAGGCGTAGGTAGGTGTACAATATTAAAATGCATGTTATAGAGATAGGATGGTGTCTATTGGATTGGTCTGGCTCAGTGTAGGGACCAGTGGAGGGCTCTTGTGAACACGGTAATGAACCTTCGGGTTCCATAAAATGCTGGGAAATTATTGAGTAGCTGCAGATTTGACCGCTCCTCAAGAAGGGCTGAACTCCATAAGTAAGGAAATAAGTAAGTTGTATACTGCAAAAAATTGGCTGGAATTAATTTTCGTTTTTACTTTAATAGGCTCAGTGTTTAGCAGTTTTCAATTAAGTGAATACGATATAAAACACACTTCATTAAGTTTTGCACATTTTATATAATTTTTTTTTTTGGCGTGGTGAAAATTTGTAACGAATTTCGATAGGAATATATTTCTTTGATCTCTGTAGTTGTTTAGTCCGACTAGTTTCATAAAAGTACATTCTGTATCTTCAGCAGATAAACACCATAACCAAGTAAAAATATTACGTTTCTGAGCATTATCCATCTTCCTGTTTTTTATTTAAAAAGCAACGTTTCGGAGACTGAATTCCGTCTCTGCGTCCAGTCTCCGAAACGTGTTTTAAATAAAAACAAGAAGATAGATAATGCTCAGAAACATAATATTTGCATTAATATGCCATCGTCACAAACTTTTACATCTTAATTACCATGACCAAGGATATTCGCTTTTAACGGAAAACATATTTTTAAAACTGTGTACGATATTGAAGATCCGCCTTCCGTTCTTGTTATATTCTGTCGTGAAGAGCGAGAATATCGTCACATATGAGTGACTTCAGACGGAGTTTTTGATTGGTTATTGGATCTAATGACCACTTACAGGTAGTAACTACAAGTAACTGTAACACTATCGATATTTTCACACTTTACATTTAGTCTGCTCTTCTTAATCTGTTACTAGACGTTTCCTGATAACGGCTCCAACAATGGCTATTCCTCTCCCTCAGGCTCAAGTCCTCTCTTCACAGACTCCAGTACAGAAATATCAACTCAATGTCAAAGTCACATTGCGACTGACAGTCAGTCAGTGAGTAAGTTTTGGTGTCGAGCCCCATCTGGAGCTCATGACCAGATATTTATTACTGTTTGACAGATACGGTCTTGTTTTTGTGGGCGTCTTCTCTGACGAGAGGTGCTGAATGCTGCTGGTACTTGACAGCGCAGCCTTTCTCGGGTCCGAGTCCCTTGGGACTCGTGACCATATTTTACTGTCTGAGATTTGATACTTCCCTTTTCGTCACCTCCTATGACTCGCAGGGTCACGGTGGAGGTATTCGACCCCACCTCCATACGAGCATCAGAACTTTCAACTGACGGTCACATTGCCACTGACGGTCAGTCAGTCAGTAAGTCTTGGTGTCGAGCACCATCTGGGCTCATGACCAGATATTTATTACTGTTTGGCATTTACGGTATTGTTTCTGTGGGGCATCTTCTCTGACGAGAGGACGGGTCTGCCTTTTGTACGTATATGCTGCTGGCCCTTGCCAGTGCAGTCTTTCTCGGGGTCTTAGTCCCTTGGGACTCGAGACCATATTTTACTGTCTCAGATTTGAGACTTCCCTTGTCGTCGCCTCCTACGACTCGCAGGGTCACGGTGGAGGTATTCGACCCCGCCTCCACACGGGGACACTCCCGAACTTTCAACTGAAATTGTACCTTGCTTATAACATCTCGGCACGGACAACATAGAGAACACAGATCTCTATTATTGCATTCGTGTCTGTTGCTGCGAGAACGTGTTTACTGAGCCTTTGCCGAGAAACGGCTCCGGTTTATACTTCTATCTCGCGGTCTTTGCATAACAACGGGTCTACACACCACAATATTTCTTACTATCTGAGTTTCTTCTAAATTTGGTGAGAAAGTATACTCATAGTAAGCGTAGTCTAGGGGTAATGTTCCCACCTCATGACTCAAGGTACGCGGGTTCAAGCACCGCGGAGGTCGTGGAATTTTTAAGGGCGGAAAAATTCAGGGAACAAGTCCTCCGGGAGGGACTTTAAGCCGTGGGTCCCGTGTCGTAGATTTACGGCACGTAAAAGATCCTCATGCCTCCGATAGGTGGGGAAGTGTTAAGTACCACTGCCAGAGGAGGGACGACCTCGCTGACGCTGACAGAAAGGGGCTGATAGCGAGCACCAGTGTCGGTAGGGGATGGAGACAGTAGACATTAAAAGGGGGATGTATCATAGACTATCAGTCGCGGTGCATGGGGAAACCCACCCCCTCAATACTGAATCACTGAATACTCATAGCATGTTAAGTTATAGTTTAGGAAACAAAAGAATTTGACTATGAACAGCTAAAATTGTGGTCGCTTTATTCTAATGTACGATCAAAGTTACAAATATTTGTTGTTCTTGCATATTTAAATTCTACATTTGTAGCTCAGACAGATAATAATAGACTGGAAAAGACGTGGGAATATGCTTTCATGATCTATTTAAGGCATTTCGATAAAGCGACAGAAACAAGACACAATAAATCTGTCAACGTTTTTACTCGAGACTTCTCGAAAATGAAGCAGGCGTACCACCCTTACGATCGTGACTCCAGCTCTCAAACACACATTATAAGAATTTTTTGTCAATATAGATGTGATAGCTGATTCCAGTATCAAATGAACGTATTGTTACTGATGTATGAAAAGCTGATTGATAATTTGAATCTTGGCATCAGCAAACAATTGCCATAACAATAGATCATTCATGCGTTTCCGGTTTGTTTCTATCGCTACTCTGCTGCCGCCTAACGGCTATTAGTTAAGTCTATATCAAAAAAGAGACAGACAGAAGCACTATCCAGCACCACAAATACACACGTCACGTCTTTTGTTTTGGATAGTGTCAGCAATAATGGAGGCATGGCTCCTCAGAGCTAGTGTCCCCTGCAGGAATAATCTGTTATCGGTACAGATGTGGTCTCTAAAAACAAATGACTGTATTGGATCTGTTGATAGATGATAGGATGAATAATTGAATATGTGATTGAATTTTCGTAACAAAGGCAATTTAACGTGCTCGAGGTAGAATATATTATTTTTTTTGTTGTGGAAGTTGCGAGTGTCAGATTATGCATGTAAAAGAGAGCATGCATATTTTTTAGTAGGAATAATGAATACATTTTGACCTGCATTGGAAAATGTAAAATTTGGATACCAGTAACAAAATTAATCCTAGCGTTTGTAAACCAGAATAAAATCCTCAGATGCTGGTCGCCAAAAAACCTAAAACCCACAATGTTATCTACTAAACAAAGCAAACAAAACTCCGTGGCCTTTAGTCTGCAAGCGAACTATACTGACCGAGCGACCGCCGCTTGTCGGAGAATTTTAGTGCCAACTTTTGCCGATAGAGATTATTTTACTTTTGTTAATTTCTCTGTATATCTTTATACTTCCATAAACAATAACATACGTTTGAACTTATGTTAATGTGACACCTATCTATCGTATATTCTAAAGCATGACGCTTTTAGGATGGAAGGAAAGATAGTCATGTCGATAAAATGTTTTTGCAAAGAGCTTAGTCTTATGTCTCACCACATACAGACATATTTATCAAGTATACTCACAAGGTGTGTTCACAGGCAGTAAGAATGAATATAATGTGCCTTAATAAGTAAGTTAAATGTATTCTCGTGGGTTATGTTTTTCCTAAAATATCAGAAATGTTTTGATGAAAGTGTATCTGATTTTCTATCATTTTTGTCGAATCTATTTATAATTTTATATTATATATTTTTCTTTAAATACCATCAACAAGTATAAGCAAGATTTCGAAATTTTACTTATCCAAAATTAAATTTCAATAATATATTTTAATGGCCTTCTTTATAATAAAATATATTAGTTTTAAGAGAAAGGTCAAAATATAATTTCGAGTTATAAATGATGTATATATGGAAACTTGAATTTTAAAATGGGCTTTTCTGCATAACTTTATTCTACTTTCGTCGTATTAATGTAATTTCAGGGCACAGTTATGTTTTTATTTATTTTCGGGTACGTTTTAAGAAGATTCATTTAAAAGATATGCATATACAGGACAGATATTTTCTTTACACGAGACTTTATGAATAAGTATAGGATCTTTCTGTGTTAAAACTCATTAAAAATCTAGATTTTCATATGGACACAGTCATGAAATGAACTTTATAATCATAATTTAATATTTTGAATTTAGTGAAGAATATATTTTATATAATTTCCTGCCACCTTTTCTTCATAACTAATGTACATATTTATTATTGAAAAAAAACTTGTTTTCGTTTTAATTACTTTGCAGTAGAATCAAATAGTTCGTAATATACACAACATCATATTTTCTGAATTACGTATTGAGAAGTTTCAAAATTCGACACATAATCATTACTGTACGTTTTACTGTGTTCTAAAACATGTTAATTTCATGATTCTATAAAATATATTAACATTTCAAAATAAAACTATTACTGGTTCTTGATAAATTATTCCACAGAATTTTCAAACGAATTTTATTTTGAATATTAAAGAATACTGAAGATGTTTATGAGTCGTCCTGTCATATATCAAGAATATAACAGCTAAAAAATTCAGTACTCACCGTGGACTATTAGTGTAGTAACCAGTAAATAAAGCAGACATTGTATTGAGCCTGACATCATGGACGAAAATTTGTTGAGAGGTTAGTGGCTCATTGTACGTAGAGCTGAGTTTCAGTAGTCCGCACCAAATTTGAGTTCCTACCGTCTTCACCAAAATGACGCAGAGATTACTAAAACGAACGCAGTTTTTCTTCCTTATATGAAGAACATGAACAGTTGCAGACGTTGAGTCAAAAATATTTTCTATTTACTCGACAAGAATTTGCCTTGAAACGAAAATGACCCTTCAGTTTGCAAATACACTGTAAGTTTTGAATTCAGATTGCTCTATTACACTCCAATATATATATATACGAGGAATTTTGATTCAAAGTATAATTTATATTTAAGCCTAAATTAGCGTACATTTATATCTATATATATATCCTGTTCTAATTATATCAGTATCAGAACCTATTTTACAGTTAAGCAATTCCTGTTTCTACTACGGCGATATAATGCAAATATATTGACACTTGAATACAATTTATACATTTCACTGAGTTTAAATTAATGGTTGAATGTCGTTGAAATAAGTATCTATCTCAAAATATTCTCATCAAATATTTGTAAGGGCAGTGAATACAAAATTAAGCTGTAATCTTCTACGATTTATGAATTGCATGAACTGTACTTGGTCCATATCAATTACAGTTATTAGCTTCACGTATTGACATTCACCATTCTGTTGAAATAGAGACACTGTACACAGACGATCTTCAAACCGTAAGACGTCGGTCGACACGTAACTTTCCAGCGTCGCGACGCCCAACCTACAATCTAACCAGCGCCTCGCGTGGCCGGCAACTGCGCTTCAAATCCGATTCGGTCGTTTTTAATATCCCTTTCGTCTGTCCGTCCGTTCGTACTACGGCGCTTTGCGTTGCGCGCGCTATGTTGGCGAGTCGGCGCCGCGACGTTCCTGACGCTGAACCACAGCGTTGCACGTTTCCACAACAGGGTTCCCCCCCAAAGCAGTGCAAACTGCCCACTGACGGCAGTGTTACTTCTGCCTAAAATAATTTTTATGACTTGTTTTAAGATACACCTATATCCTTTAGAGAGTTATTATTTTTATATTAATATTTCTCTTGCTTTCAGGGCCGAAATTTTACCGTTTAAACTTCAGTGTTTAGAGTGGGTGACCTTCAAACAAACCCTGCGCGTCGCGAACAGTGACAAAGTGGGGGAATCCCACGTTATTTCACTCGTGATTGGCGGAGAATTGAAGAAGACAAGTCACGCGTTCCTCGTCCAATAATAAAGTAGGGATTTCCCCTCTCTTTCACCGCCACCCATCGCTGCTTGCGCTTCGGTGAACAAGTGGTAAATTGCTCAAGGACTCTCTTACTTCTTGGCCACTTTAAGACGTCACTACGAAACTTGAATGGCCCGATGACGCTGCTCCATCCGATGTTAATAGATTCGACTAAATGTTCCTTTCTTATTAATCTTAAAGCCCTTTGAGGCTCACGACCAGTATTTTCTTTCAACTGAACACTTGCCCCTATAGTCCTTATGTAACATCATCTCTGACGAGAGGATGGGTCTGTCATTCACAATTTCTATTGGTCCTGGCCAGGGCAGTCATTCCCAGGTTCGAGTCCCTAGGAACTCATGTCCATATTTTACTGTGTCAGATTTGAGACTCCCCCAACCTGGAGGGCCAGGTCCACCTATTTATATTACACAGAAAGAGGGTGCCCTGTTTTTAAATAGAAACAGGAAAGTATTTTTAGAAACAGTGGATACCGTCTAGAAACATTATGTTTTTGTTAATGTACCTTCATCAGAAATCTTTAGATCTTGTAAAAGACTGCAGGATGTGAGAATATAACGCTGTTGAATTTACTCCAAATTGTGTCGAACAGCAAATATTTGTATCAGCGATGTTGAAAATTCGGCTTCGTCCATCAGTGTTAGTTTATTTATGTAACACGGGATTAGTTGACAACATACGTAATACTTCATCCTTTATTATATATATTCCTTCTTATGTTTGGCTGAGAATATTTGGACCGAAGAGGGATGAAGTGACAGGAGGCTGGAGAAAACTGCATAATAAGGAGCTTCATAACTTGTACTCTTCTCAGAGTATAATTATAATGATCAAGTCATGGAGGATGAGGTGGGCAGGGCATGTAGCATGAATGGGGGAGAAGAGGAATGCGTATAGGATACTGGTGGGAAAGCAAGAAGGAAAGAGACCACTAGGAAGACCAAGGCATAGGTGGATGGACAATATTAAAATGGATCTTAGAGAGATAGGATGGGATAGTATGTATTGGATTAATCTGGCTTAGGATAGGGCTCAGTGGAGGGCTCTTGTGAACACGGTAATAAACCTTCGGATTCCATAAAATGTTAGGAAGTTCTTGAGCAGCTGCAGATTTGGCGGCTCCTCAAGAAGGGCTCAGCTCCGTGAGTGAGTGATAATTGTTTGACTTAAAAAAAACGAACTCCTTGGCTTATAGTCCGCAAGCGAACTATACCGACCGAACGACCGCCGCTTGTCGGCGAAGTTAGTGCAAACTTTTGCGGATAGATGATGTCACGTGGTCAATGCAACGAATCCCCACGACCGTTAATCTCGGTTTTCTAGACCGGAGCCACTATTTTTTTTAAATAGCTCATCAGTTAGCCTCACGAGGCTGAGTGAACCCCGTTCCACCCCGTTCCGTTCCGTTTCACTGAAAATCTGATAGGGTCGGGAATCGAACCCGGGACCTCTGGATCTGTAACCAGGAACTCTGACCACTAGACCAAAGAGGCTGTCATTGGTTGAGTTAGCCTTGTAGAATTGTCCTACCGTCTTGTTTTTTGCGTAAGTGTTTCGATATTAATTAGTTTCTCATTATATGTCTGTTGTTACATTACGGCCTTCAGATTAGTTTCCGTGTATTAGTATCCTGAAGTTCTGTGTCCTGTAAACTAGTAGATCAAAGATGAGTGTTTGTAGTGCTCTTTTCCAAGATGCTGCCCATCTCAAGTTCCTTTGCTTATATTTTATCCAGTCACAGAGACGAAACAAGGAAACAAACACTTTTTATATACACGTCAAGGATTTTACTTCATTAACATCACAGGAAACTGGAAACCTGAGTTGTCGTAACACTTGAGAAAAGGAAGGATACAGGGTTTCTTGAGGTAATATAATATTGCCTCTTCAGGAAAAAGTTCTCTTTAAGTCAGCGAGTTTGAATGGAGAGGTACAGGTAGAGTGACACTTTGCGGTGTGCTGCAAATGGAATATTCTTGTACTGATGAAGTTATGACCGTCAGTATAATGAAGTGTTATTCCTAAAGTTGCTTTTTGCACGTTAGCAAGCCTACAGAGTGCCCGATAAATTCGCTGCCGTACGTCCGTCCGTCTGTTTGCATGCTCGAATAACATTTGAAAATCGCTGAGCATATCATCATGAAATTTAGAGAGTTCTAATAGCATTTGTCAATATATTCGAAATACGGCTAAAATCAGACAAAATATCATTGACACTTTACATGAAGAACGATCCTCGATTCATTAACTCGTTAAGTATTCGTGTCAGAGAGAAACGTTTTAATATAATAGTGATCAGAAAAATGGAAAATATATTTTCTCTACGTTTTTCGGTTTTCGAGACAAAAGTAGCGTGTGCAATACTAGGTTTTTGCTTTCTGCTGAAATGTGACACCATAGAATCTACTTATGGAACTGTAAGTCTAATAGGACAGTAAAACTAACTTCGTGGGGATGAGCCGCCAGTTATGCAGCTACTCAAGGATTTCCCAGCATTTTGTGGAACCCGAAAGTTCATTACCGTGTTCACAGGAGCCCTCCACTTGTCCATATTCTGAGACAGACCAACCTTGTCCGTACCTAACAATCTTATAACTCTTAAGATCTATCTTAATATTATCCTCCCACCTAATCATAGATCTTCCTAACGGTATCTTTCTTTCTGTATTTTTCACCAAGATCCTATATACATTACTACCCTCTCCATGCGCGCTACATGCCCTGTGCATCTCATCCCCATTGACTTGATCATTCTAATTATACTTGGAGAAGAGTACAAGTTATTAAGCTCCTTATTATGCAGTTTTCTCCAACCTCCTGTCAGTTCATCTCTCTTCGGTCCAAATATCCTTCTCAACGCCTTGTTCTCAAAGGCCCTCAGTCTATGTTCCTCCCTTAATGTCAGAGACCAAGTTTCATACCCATACAGAATCAGAGACAAAATTGTATTTTTGTATTATTATAAATTTTACGATTTTGGACAGCGGACGAAAGGTTCTGGATCGAACGGTAGCAAGCTTTACCTGAATTCATTCTCCTCTTAATTTCCTCCTGAATCGAATTTTGATCTGTTCCTGTCTTTCCCAAATATTGAACAGAGAAAATTTTTCAAATAATCTGTTATCTACATTTATGTCACGATTTTGCTGTGGACCATAGCGACGTGAAAACAACATGTGTTTACTATCTTCTGCGCTTGTTTCTAGCTTCAGTTTGTCTCTGTTTTCTCTTGTACTTTCTTTTGTAGAGCGCTATTCTAATTGCAGTACTACACTTGTATTTCTCAGTGTACATATCGAGCATTCAGCAATAGTGAAAATGGTATCGAGCAATCGAGAAAATTATCGAACCAACATTTATCTCGATAATAATGAAGCGAACTTCCCCCCATAGGTCTATATGAATTTAAATATACACTTAATTAAAATATTTCTCCTAGTGATGCCTAAGTCTCAAATTTTCGATCATATAATGATATTCTATATGAAAACAAAACTTCAGATCAGAAAGATATAATAATGAAGTAAGAGCCAACTTTAGCGGATAGAGGATGTCTCATGTCTCCTGAGTTATCCTCACGAGGCTGAGTGGACCTCGTTCCAGACCCACTACTTTTCAGAAAATCTGGAAGCGCCTGGAATCGAACTCAGACCTCTGGATCTGTAGCAAAGAACTCTGACTACTAGACGACAGGGGCGGTCGGAGAACTAGATCACTTTTGTAAATACATTGTCACGTAAAGGGACTATTGCGTGACTTATGAGACGGGTTTTGGATTGGATGATTGGATTTATTGACACCCATTTCACGTAACTCGGGACTACAGGTATATCGCTGTTCTACACACTTCACAGTTCACCATANCACACAGCCATTACCTAGCAGTAACTATTGCATAGCTCCTTATCTCACATTCGCTGTCTAGCAACGGATCTACATGCCGTAATATCATTGTATACACAACATTTCTTACTTAGTTCTTCTGTTGAGGTTTCAGGCGTACTCTTATGCCTTGTGTTTTCAAGTGAGACAAGAAAAGAACTTGACCCACGTCCAAGAACAGCCAAATGGCAAGCTGGTCCCCACGGAGTATCCGACCGGGGAATTCGCTTGTTTGTTCCTCGCGCTTCGCTGTGTCCACGTCTCGCGTTCTTACGCCATCTCAAACTAAGATGCACAACAGACACATTGTGTTAACGTGAATTCTTGGAAGAACGTACGATACCCTCTGTCCTTTGAGAAAGAAAGGACAGAGGAAGAAAGGCTGTACAGCGTCTAATAAAACTTACATACCTTAGCGATACAACGAATTATCTTTGTGTAAGTTTCAATATTATACAAAATGGAGTTAGGTTTCTGTGTAAAATTTGAAGTGATTACGGCGCCGAATAAGAAGGTGTGAAGCCGTACAATTTTGTAGGTTTCGGAGTCACCTACTGTCTCCATCTTCGAAACTTTGTAAAATTATCACAATAAATATCAGATATTCTTGTCTCTTTTCGTCCCGAAGAAGCAGCTATTTTGTATCAGTGCTGGGAGAGAATGCCGCTGCAGCACCAGCAGCTTAACTGGTACACAGCATGCGCCTGCGCAGTAAT